GTGCACCTCCTTCGTTCAACAGTAACTGAATTAACTGGCAATGAGTTGCCATCCTTATGTCAGACTCTTGGTTCGTTTTTACATCTCTACCTTCAACTGAAACAAACTATCAGACAGTCATCAGCTGTTACAGTCGAAAAGCTGGCAATATTTTATGAAATGGAGAGGATCCCAATGATGGATCCAAGAAACTGCATAACTAAACTAAAACAAACATTTAAAGAATGGCATTTGATAAACAAAAACAAGGGGTGACAATCTGTAACACAGCAAACAAATGAGGCTAAATTTGTTAGTAAACTAGATGAACTTTTTGATATTTCTCATCTTAGAGCAGTTGAAATGTTAAAAATTCCAGAGGATCATGAGTTCTTGTTAGCTCAGCATGAAAAAGGATGTAAAGGATCAATGGTAGGTGTGGATGCAAAATTAGCTGCAAAGGAGAAACATCAGCACAAAGTCAAGAACAGATGCTTAAAATAAAATGTAGAATGGAAAACTTGAAGAGAAGTGATGAAGAAATAGCAGAACTAATATCCTCAAGCAGCAGCACAGATACTGAAGAAAAAGATGCAAGCAATAAAAGAAACAGAGTAACTAGTGAGGGAGCAGTTGGAGGCAGATTATCTAGACAGCAAGAAAGAGAGACTCTCTGCCTCTACCAAAATAAACTGATAAAGTTACATTGAGCATAGTATTGAAAATTTCAAACTTTGTGAATTGTGATGTTTAAAAAGTTTTTTGTTGCATTTTAGTTTATAATCCATCAAGTTTTTGAATATTGTAGAGTCCGCATGACTACAGTAGAGCCCCTCTAGTCCGCCTTCAGCTAGTCCGTCACTCCAGTTAATCCGACCGTGGTCGGAGTCGAGAAACTTGTCCCAACTCGTCAGGGACTCACCATCCGTGGTGTTCTTCTGTGTTCGTTACAGTATATGTTTTACATTGTGTGTACGTGTACAGTTTGTGTGTGTTTTCAACATGTCAGGAGTGAAACATAAATATGTTACTCTTTCATTAAATGAAAAATTAGCAGTGCTACAAAGACTGGACAAAGGGAAGATTGTTTATTTTACTTTTTTCTGATAATCTGACCTTTTTTGCGTTCCGACCATACCCCCAGTCCCAAAGGTGACGGATTAGAGGGGTTCTACTGTATTTAATTTGTAGTAATTCGAATACAAATCATTTATTGTATTTATTCAGACACTTGGCAAATCTCATCATTAAATTTTATTTGGTTGATACATGTTCATCTTATTTGTACGTTTCAGGCATTCCTTGCCCCTCTTCAGCCAACTTTTAGATTACAGGTTACTGAAAGTTAAAACCATAAAATTCCTTTGCACATTTAACTTGTTATCCATTAAATTACAAATGTTTGTAAGGTTTGAACCTTTAAAACACCTTTACACATTCGACTTCTTATTATCTAGTTATTCATTTTGAATTGTTATAAAAGTTAAACAATTTTAAAATTTCTCCCATACATTTACTATCACATTTAAATCGATTTAACAACAATACCAGAATTTACATACTCGTCTTTCATCAAAATCGAAGAAGTCTTCCATACAAACATATTTTGCCAACCTTTCCATTTAATTTGTCTGTAATTGTCCAAAAAAGTGAAAGTCTAGTTTCCCAAAACAAGTCTTGTATGTTTTCATTTGTCATAAATTGCTGTTTTTATAAACTGTGGTCATTGAGCTACCTCTAAATATTAATATATCAAATTCAAATTTCTTCTGTAGTAATTTGAGACCAGTTGGAATAGTTCTGGAGGACCACAAAAAAGTAAGCGATTTATTTTTTTCCTATTTTAAGCACCACCCTATTAATACAGTAGTTACTTTTATTCAACACTTGTAAAAATCTAAAATATGATAAAAAATCGTATTCCTAGAACCTATTTCCGCTGTGAGGAAAAAAACAAAAGAAAAAGTTCACCACAAATGTTTTCAAACTTCTGGGAGTTCTTCCTCAGGTGAAAAGGGAGTTTCTGATGGGACGGAGTGATCAGTTAAGATTATATGTGAAAAATAAATAAACGAAAATGTAATACGAGTCGCGCATGCGTGCCCATAGTGTTGTTGTTAACTAAAATATGATACTTGTAAATTAAAATATAATTTTTTTGAAATAAACATTTTGTCAAAGATTTATGATTAATGAACAGAAACATGCTTAAATTTAAGAAAAACTGAAATTTTAATAAAATTTGTTTCATTAGTTACAATATAGATGAGGGTGCAAAAGTAAGTATACAGTTGTTGTTACAGAAAAAAAACATACTGGGAAAAAATAGGAAGAAAAAACATTTATTTTATGTACAAATTAAATCACAAATAAGGAATACAAACTAATAAAAGATAATAAAAATAATAATAATGAACACCAAACATTTGTATTTCTCAGATTCTCGACAGTATACCTACTTTTGCACCCTCCCATGTATTTATAAAGTTTTCAGTATTGTTAATTTTACAAAATCAAAAAATGCTTTTATCAAAGACTTTCAACTGACAAATACATACTATGATAGTCTCAACAATCATTTGAAAATTCAATAAGTTTAATTTTCATCACAAACATGCACATTTATTAGGTGTGACTATTTTGTAAAATGAGATTATCAAATGATGTTTTATTATAGATTACAGTAGAACCAATTCTTGGGTCCCGATTAACCAAGGTTCTGCACTATCCAAGAGGAAGCTATATGCAAATACACTACTTTTCTTATAATTCCTAAAAGTTTGCCATGAATGCACATAGTGCATAAATATTGTAGTACAGTAGTACAGTAAGAACCCACTTAATGTGGGGGATGCGTTCCTAGACAACAAAGCGCTAAACGAAACAATGTTAAACAAGGTCATTTTAACATAGAGTAAATAGGGAAAGGGAAACATGTGACCAAAAATAAACAGATTTTACTTTAATTTTAAGTTATTTTTATGTTAATTTGCACAATAATATATGTTAAATAATACATAAACATATGCACACAGAAATGTAAAATTCATTTTTTGTGATGAAAGTCTTTGCTGTTCTGAAATTCTTGCTTTTTGCGATAAAGTTGTGTAGTTTTATTTGTTGCTTTTTTTCTTTTCTTTTAGCAAATGTCGGTAGCGGAAGATCGCATCCAAAACACCTCATTTTGTTTTTGCACTCCTTTCAAAATCTGGATCATTTGCTACAATTTTATCAATGATTTTGGTTATCATTACCAAACTTTTATTAAGGAAATCTGTAGAGAAATTCTATGTGCTCTTCATTGTCAGAATCACTATTTTCCAGTTCTATAGGAATTCCTTGTTCTGCCAGTTCTTGAAGATCATTGTTGGTAAGGCTGTCACCAGAAACCTGCAGTAACTCCTCAATATCCTGCTTGTTTACATCTCCTAGTCTTGTTGTATCGATTAGGTTGATAATTTGGTCAACCTAATGATACAGCAATAGACTTTTCGTTGAGAATTCTTGGATATCTTCAGCCATAACTTCTTCCAAATTTTGTTTGTGCATTTATCAATTAACTCTTGCCAAGCGAAGTCAATATTTCCTATGGCAACCATGATGTTATATTTTTTCCAAAATTGCAGAAAACAAGCATATATTTAAGGAAAGTACAGTGCTACGACAAATTACCACCTTTTGCTGATTGGTTTGTGTTTGTAAATCATATTATACATGAATCAATGAAATGCTGCAATAATTTAAATCAGTGTAAAAGTTTCAGCTTTTTTTAAGGCTTTGAGCAGACTGTATTATATTGAGTCAGCATTAATTGAGGCAGCGTTAAGCAGGGTCTTACTGTACAGTCGACCCCCCTATAACGTGCGTTCCTATAACGGAAATTCCTATAACGTAGCAAAAAAATTGTAGCAACATTCGTATAAAGGAGCTCCTAAAATGTTGTCGCCGACTCGTTTCACGACAAGATTGATAGAATCTGGACCAATAGTGGATGAGCAGCCAAACTACTTTTCTCCGCCCTGCGCCACGCTATGGAGCAGCTAAATTGAATTTGCTATCGTCTGTACAGTATTGTATATAAATTATATATAAATTAGGTACTGTATATATAATTATATATTAACTTAATTTATTGTAACTTTATTATAATTATATATATGCTTTCCGCCGCCTGGCGCCACGCTACGGAGAGTTTAGGCTAGTAAGTTGAGTTTATTATCGTCTGTACAGTATGTAAATTAGGTACCGTAAGTCTAATACAGCACTAATTTTATACATTTCTTGTGAAAGAAACATTTCTTATTCAACGGCCATAAAAATTATTTATATTAATGTCTCCAAAGGTCAAGTTATTTTTCTGCGAAAAATTATTTATCAGAAATCGCGGCCGCCGTTTCGTGTGCTGTTCCGTGACAAAAACAAGCTTTGAGCAACGGCGTAGTCGAACGGTGCACACTCGGTAAGTAATCCTATAATTTTTTGTTTATAGCATAGTTTATACAGATTATTCCCAGAAAATTATACATGTTTTGGAAATGTTGAGTGGAATTAGTCTAGAATCGGTTAATTTTATAGAAGAAAACCTTTCAAACAGCCTTAGTCCATAAACTTCACACCTATCGAGCTGCGACTGGCTCATGTATTTAATCATTCCTACAACTTTACGTTGTAGGAATGATTCGATTAACGTGGAACGTATCTAAGCGTTATAGGGGGTCTACTGTACTTTTAATCTGAACTGTTGAATAATTGTTTTTTTTATTTTTACTTTTTAAAAGAATGTTTAAAAATTGAATTGGCTTATTGAAAATTGAAAACTTTAAAGGCTTATTTTAAAAGCATACAAAAGTTTGCTTTGTATACTTTTAAAATAAAGCGAAATGGTCTAAAAATGTTCATCATATTAAATTTCTTCTTTGTTTTGTTTTATTTCATACTATTTTGTTTAATATTAAAAATAAAAACTTTTATCAAAATAAAATGTTAGAAATTAAATTATACTTTCATAGAATTTCACATACCGTATGCAAATTAAGATTCCTAAGAGTAGATTTTAAATAATGAAATTTTTTTCCCATTGGAATATCTCTCTTTAGCCACGGTGGAAGACGAAGCCTGTAAAAATCTAAATATATATACAATATTTATGAAAAAAATTTTAAATGATTTTTAAGTTAAATAACTAATGCAAGTAAAAAAATAAGAGAGAACATATTTTTTTTTTAGTTGTAAAATATAAAAAAATCATGCAGACATTACAAAATATTATTATGGTAGAAAACAACTAAATATAATTGAATGGATCTTTTCTAAGATAAACTACTTTTATACCTTTTTGGGTCATCAGAAGTTCTTTTTAGCTTCTCTTTATAATCTTTGCTACTCAAATTCAACGGCACCGCATTTTCTATGAAATCCTGTAAACTCGGACCGTCAGGAAGACGACTGTAATTTCTCATATTTATTAAAGAACATATATATTGAACTTCATAAGATGATATTTTCTTTAACATCAATGAATGATACTGTTGAAACAAAAGTAGTTAATATGAATTAAATTTATATGAAAAATAAATCTTATATTTTCAAAACAGCCAATACAGATTTTTATATCTTTTATTACTGGAGGATTTAAAAAAATAATAATTTAATTTTTTTTTGTTTTATTTTTTTGTTGCTACTTCCAATTAAGAAGAGTGATGGTATCATAATGTTAAACTTAAATTTCATAAAACAATATCATTATCAATTCATGGTGTAGTGTAATCAATATCAAACAATATCATGACCTTCCATTTAAGTAGATATCATGCATTATTTAAGCACACGGCAATCAAAACTTGATTAATTCATTTAAATAATCATCATTTATTGTTTAAATAATAAAATTTAAAAATAACATTTTAAAACTCACATCTAATTTGCCTATAAACAAAAATAACTTTTTGTGATTAGCAAGCGTGGTCTTACACAACGCCGCCATCTTTTTCTAGTAGCGCCCTCTATCGTAATTACATTATTTAATTTTTTTTTTTCGATTAATATATAAGAGTTTTATTCTTCGATCGTATTTGTACGATTGAATAGTTTAAAAATAACAAAAGAAAAATTTTAGATGGAAAAAAAATTTGATTAGACTGACGACCCAATTTTTAGGTCTTTCCGCTCCATGTATCTAAGAGGGCCTCTTCTTGCAAGCCCATTACGGGTTCGGCCAGGCCCACAATGGGGAGAGGGACGGGGCCCGATATATCCGACACAGACTACTTAAGAAAACTTTCTGAAATTTGCTTGTCTGAATAGATCGATAGAATTATATTCCGAAGGATTTATTTTTAATGTTTCTTTGCCCTATTGAGAATGTCTTTTTTAAAGCTTAATAACTTGCATGTCTTTTGTTGAAAATTTATGAAATTTAGTCTGACAAGTAAGTTAAAGGAGTCGTAAGACGTTCTTTCTGACGGACCATAAATTCGGAAATCCGCATGATCCGAAATTTACCGGAGGTTTGTTTATTGGAGAGATTGACTCTATTAAATTTCGGTGGTTAAAGGTCGAGGGGTGAGGAGATAATTGAGATCTTCGTGTGTATCTCCAGTAGTGTCGGACTTAATGACAATTTTACTCGTTATTAGCATTTATAATCCTTTCAGAAATCATCTCTACCCTCAAATTAAACGTTTTGTCTTTTTATAATAATTAATAACATAAAAGTTATTTTTAAATAAAATCTCAAAACAAATAGCATCACACTCAAATTTAACTTCGTACTTGTATGTTTTGGTGTTTTTTTTAGACTTAATATTTTTTTAAATAAGAATTTAATCGTAATTACAGATGCCATCATCGATTTTATTATTTTTCTACCGTTCATTCTACGCAAGTTCTTCTTCTAATACTTAAAAAATTGTTTCGATATTCGACTAGAAATTTCATTAAAATATGAAATTTTACTGTGAAAAATTAAATTCCAAGAAATTTCTTTCGATATCCATTGTTGTCTATTGCAGTATCCATAAGCAAAACACGCAACAAGAGATTCAAAAAGTTCTAAGAAAATAATATTTGCTGAACGAGTCTAGAAATGAAAAAAGACTAATAAGAATTGAAGTAAATTATCATTGAAACGGGATTTTATAAAATTAAAACTGATCTAACTTAATGTAGGATTATAAAATGTAGCATAGCCATTTAATGCATGGGTTATGCAAGAACCAAGATGTCTGTGATTCCTTTTACTACTATTATTCTTCCCTTCATTATTCAAACCGAAAATAAAGATGTCTCGGAGCTTCACACAATACATTCTCGTTTGAAGGAGAAGTAACTGTTAAAGGAGTAAAGTAATAAAGCCAGAATCGTCAAGTATTTTTTTACTGTAATTGAGAAACTAAACGGAACCAAGACGTCAAAAGTTTACTATTTTAGAAGCTTCTAAATTCAAATATGACGAAAAAAAATCAAAGATTATTACAATATTTTCTTTGTTTCCATTACACATCTTTTAGATGTAAGATAATGCTGTGCTTTACCTTCCAAAAAAACTCGTGTTAGCGGCGGAACTTTTAATGATATAGGTCGTGTTACGTTGCTTAGTCATATAATTGTAAAAATATAACTACACTTTGCTCCTTTAGAGATAATTTCTTCAAAGATAAGTTATAGCAATTACTGGCTTAATTAGTACCTGAATATATCGAGCTCATTCCCTTACCACTCATTATGGGACTGGAAAATCTCTCTGTTAGTAATATATACAGGGAAGAAAGTGTAAATATAGATACATCTTTATAGAGTAAAAACTGGGAATTTTTTATATGAAAATATCAATAAATATTTATGCTAATTATAGTTATTTTTCATGAAAATCACGTTTGAATACATAATAAACAATCTGTCAATTGAGTAGATCCATAATGACTTATTGAATAGACAGGTTGTTGACACAGGTTTTTTTTTTTCTTTTTTGCTTTTAACTACGAGACAAAAAGTTCATATCTCGTTACGTAAGTTTACAATTTAACTCGAAGACGATAGAAACAGTCGACATCTTTAAAATAAAATAGAAATTAATTAGAATATTAAGTTTCTCTCATTAAATTCCCTTATAAATTTATACCAGACGTTAAACATTGACTCAGTGTATACGAATAAAGATATTTTATCTACATTCACAGATATAAACTATTTATAACGTATACTAAGAAATTAATCCTATTAAAATCGAGGAACTTGATTGTTATTTAGTCACATTTAAGCATTTGTTTCGTGACTTAGGTTAATGATAACTTTACACGCGACAACACTTAATAATATAATTTGTTTAGTAGGTTAATATTAATTTAATCATATTAACCTCAAATAGATTTTGGGCTCAATATAACGGATTCTAACCTAACCTATTCTGATAAATTACCAAATTATTGGTAATTTATTAGAATAGGTTAAGTTTATGGATCCCTATTGTGCGGCCATGACAGTCCACGTAGGTAAAGATTAATCAGATTCCGTAATCCTGATATGTTTATATTAAATAATATCAAATTAGAAGCAAGTTGTTTATTTATGCAATGTTTTTCTTTATTTTCCTAAAGCGTAATTGCATTTAGTAGGATTAGAAAACTTGATTGCTGATGACTTGTTTCTTCAGTCTTTGTGTAATTTTTTCGGCTCTATAAATAAATATATGACTTATGAATTTAAATTTAAATTTTAGAAGCGATTTATTTACTAATATATTAATCAATAAGCCTATAATTGGTTTTAAAATTAATATATTAATTCTAGCATTTACGGCTTTAAACATTGTAGATATCGAAATTTTAAATATCTATTTTGCATAACTGGATAGAAGAAATTTTCTTGTTTTGTAGGCAGGTGTGTGATATAATTGTTTACGTATTTAAATTAAGTATTTATAGTCATTTTGGATTAATTAAGGTTTCTAACATGGAGGTCGATTGTAACGGACAATGACTTACGACCAAAGGAAAATAAAATAAATGAGTTCGAGTAATTACTGTCTGGGTATTAATTTCTGGTTTTTTGAATGCTTCTTTGCTGCATAAATATATTTCTTCCTGGAACCAATTAATTTACTTGAGTCAAATTGAAGAGTGCTTACTAATAACTCTGGGAATGGTCCCTATTATTGCTCGGAAGTCCAAATTATACCTAGATTGGATGATACGCCCATCCACAATCGATTATTATCTATTTTATGAACTAAAATTTATCATTTACATGTTCTCTTTTATTGTAAATTGTTTTAGAATAAATTATTTTTATAATAATTAGCCATTGTCTTTGTTTTAACTGGCGTATTGCAGTAACTTGTATTAACTTTCTGTCGATGGGATCGGGACTGGCCCTAAGCTATAACATAGGCCTATAACAAGCCCTTTTCCTCCATTAAATAATAAGATATAAATATATAAGGTCCTAAGCTACAGCTGCTTAGCTTAGTGAAAGTTTAACACTGGATAGGATATTAATCTGTTTATTTAGTGTTTTACCTTTCTCGATACGCGATATTATTTTTTAACTCTAATTCTTAGAATTGATCATTTATTCTTGATGTTTCCCCCGCAGCTTTCAGACATATTGAAAATGTGTATACAGTCAGGGTTGAGGAGTTATAGATTACGAATCTAGGGCCTCTCAGAATCCTCTCAGGCTTGGATCCAGGCTTCTAGAAAAACTCTGTGTCTAGGAACAAGGCTCAGGCTTTCTAGAAGCCTGTATAAAACCTAACAATATACTACATAAATTAATTTGTAAACATTTTCGTATTTATGATATAGAAAAATACATTATCTGCTACATTTGATATTAAAGAATGCAGTTTTAGCATCTTTGTAACGCAAGGATCTAGAAAATCTCTTACGCCATTAACATTTCAAAATATATTGTAATCTACTTAAAATTATATCAAATAATTTTCTGGTATTTTAAAATTTTGATCCCAATTTTGCCCAAATATATATATATAGTCTTTACGTTAGGATCCCGCCTCACACCATCCGGTTGCCCTGGTAACTCATTACAAATGGGCATGGTAAAAGGCTCTTTTAGTGCCCACTGAATGGAAAAAAGTTGAAAAAAAAGAAATATATTATTATGTTTTTAATAGTTTAAGAAATACCCGAGAGAATGTCACAAGAATTGCTACATTTTCTCTTTAAATTATAGAAGTGGAGGAGAAGAATAATGGCTATGCAATAAATAGTAACAAACAAGGAATTGTTTATAGAGACGAATGGAATTGGATACTGTCGTAAAAAAGAAATGATTCTGAAACGTTTCTAGGAATCGTTTCTCTAAAGAAAATCTCGGAAATGTCGACAAAGCGGCGCAATAAAAGTTCGTTTCAGTTACACGACGTGATTAAGATTAGATAGTTACTATAGGGATTTTTCCATCCTACTTCTATTCTTTCCTCGTTATATGTATACACATAGCCTAAATTTATACATAAATAACGATTGTTATGCAACGGTTATGCAATTTATTACTTGTTTTATTTAAATAAATAAAAATTTCACGGTATTTGTTTAGCAATTTAATAAAAAAAAATTTTCCACAGAAGTTCCAATTAAAATTGCATCTTTTCGACTGTTTTACATTGTTTATGATTTAAAAATATACCGAAAATATGCATGGTTTATTGCACCATCCAATGTAAAATTTATTATAATTATACAAGAAAATCTAATTTATTTATATTAATCTTGTATTATAATTTTATCCTTGAAGACTAGGACAACTTCTTGGGTGAAACCTTGAAGCCCCGTGATAAGAATATATTGGTTTTATTTACAGTTTTTTTAACATAAATAACAATAATGTGAACACCAAGAAAATAAATATTTATACATTGTTTTTATTACTCAATTATAATCTACATTTATAACCACAAACGAACCGATTCTAATATACAATAAGGAGAGAAAATTTGATAAATTTAGAAAATTAATCGGAATAAAGTCTAGGTTAACTTATATCATACTGGGAGTTCCCTCTCGGTGAGATGAATAATTATTCTCTCACGTATACTAGCAATTACTCAGCTTATAGTAAAAAAAAATAGGGTCGATTACCGAAGAAATAAGAATTAAAAATACACTGTTTTATCTTCCACAACGTTTAATATTAATGGAATTATGCGTATGAAATCAAAGTGAATGATTATTTATTTTAAAGTAATAAATTTCAGTATAATTTTTGATTCAATTTCACATATATAGAGTAGTATAATATAAATTATACGTATATTATTAGTATTGATAGTAGATATTTATGTATTTATACTTACATTTATATAACTTAAATAGCAAATTTAAATGTTTTAATAATAAGCATCCTCGAAATCATTCGTTTTATATATTAAAATTTCGTTTATAGACCGAAACAAAGCTAGGAATTGATAATGACTACAATTTTCTCTTGGTTTTTATTGTATTAATTATAAGAGAAACGAATAAAATCTTTCCTAATTTACAAATTCATATATATATATACAGTATATGAGAGCGGAGTAGGACATTGATAAGATTCGATAAGAAGTAATTAGTTACGTATATGTTTTAAAAAACAGTATAAGAGGAAGGAGAACCGGATTGTAAATAGCTAATTTTATGTGCGAAAAAACATATTCGGCCATCAAAAGTTTCCTTTGGAAAGAAAAGAAAACAAATAATATTTTGTGTTCACAGTTTCAAAAAGACCGACTGGTAATGTTTTCAAAGACTGTTTTATTGTATCTGTCTCCATTAAAATACTTGGTCAGAAAGTACGACATCACGATTCCATACTGACTAGGTCAACACATTATTTTCTCCATGGAAAAACTAACATAAAATATGTCTAACAATGTTAAATACCGAAGTGTGTTTTATAAATATATATATATATATATATTTATAGAGTTATAAATACGCGGCACGAATATAAATAGTAATTAAATAGAAAACGAAATCTTTATGAATCACTCTCTCATAAGGAAAATGTGTAAGAAAACGAAATATCTTACGCAACGTACTTAAAAATGTGTTAGACAAGTATAATTACAGTAATATATAGGCCTATCTAATACAGGAAGGTGGTAAAATGTTTAAAAATTAGAAAAGAAAATGAAAAACTATCGTGTTAAATAATTTTACAAAAATTACAATTATATATGACGGGATATTTCTATAATTTAAAGATAAGAAAATGCATTTAGTTTACTCTAACAAAGAAGGTTATCTCGGATTAGAGAGGATGCAACGTAATGTCAGATAGTTATCTAGGCACACAGCGGAGTGCCATAGGTATGCCACAAAGATCTATTCCCTCCTCTACATTTTTATATCCGGAAGGAAATTGTTTAGGTGATTTCTAATTCTAGTGTAGAAAGTTCTATACTGAAAATCCGTATCTTTATGGCACACATAACTATGATTAAAATCAACAAAAATCACTGGAGAGAATGTCAGTAAAGGTGTTCTGTTTCATTTCCTCGACGAATTCGTGCCTTAAACCTGTTTACCTGGTCTAAAGTAACGTGTCTTGTGCCTCAGAAATGACTTGTTTTTAAACATTTATAAAGTAAGAAAAGATTATAAGGATCAAAATAGTTTCTATCGTCTTTTGGTCGAGCTTTACGATAAAAATAAATTAGTAAATTTAATGAAATTTCCGGACGTTCATTTACTCTTTAATCGTGGATATTATCTTAAGTCGAGGTCGGAAATAACAGATCAAAGGCAAAGTTTTCTATCCATATGGTCGACATATGGAACTTCTCGGAAAGTTTCATCTCGATCAACCTGACTCCCCGACATCAACAATGAGCTTGCACTCCCCACAATGACCCTATTTGGGAATTCACCCAACACGTTATACTTTATTCTTAGAAATTTACATCAAAATCGTCTATAAATTGTTTTTTTATTAAGATTACATTAAATCGAATTAGTAAAATTTCAACTATTTCTTCTCCCCCTTTTCAAACCCATTAAATCTTTACGTAACACTATAGAAGGATGACGATTTAGAATCTCTAGTGTGCTACTAGTAATTCGATTTTGTCCAATGGGAAACGTTTTCAGCAACTACGTCACTTCCAATCGACGTTCTTTCTGGCTGGTGTTACGTGTTGTGACTTCAGACACGTTTCGATCCCGCGCCGTTTAGCACGTGGATCGGACTTTTACCATAGTTTATTCATCATTATTTGAGGATAATATTTATACGAACTCGCTTCCATGTGAGGACGTCAATAATAGGAATATAGCGGAACATGGAAAAGAGTTTCGATCTTACGGGAGACCACGAGAATGTTTTCGAAGGAGATCAAATAGTTCCAGATTCTTACGTCGTTTCTAAACAATTGCCTTCTTCCGTTCTGTTTCAGCACACTAAAACACAGGTTAGCATTTTATTTTATTTTATTTTTTTTTTGTTTTAGCATTTAAAAACTAATTTTAGCAACGTTATTTTTGTTTTGACACGTGAAAAGGCTGTTGATTTGTTCGACTGTCAAAAAAGTTTGACAGTTAAAACATGTCGACAGCCGTAGGTTTTGACAGTTGAGAAAACTAGAAACATACAGGAACGTATTAAAAAACAGTTGAAACAGGATTAAGAACGATTTTCTCGTGTCTAAATGCATTCTATGCCCCGATTTTAAGTGTTGTTTCGTCATTATTTTCGTTAATATATTTTTTAAATATATTTTTTTTTTTTTATATAAAGGTCGAGTCTCGTCACATACCAAATTAATTAAATCTGTAGAAAAACCTGTTTTTAATCTTTGCTCCTCTTCTTTTATATGCATTAAATTCCCGACTTTTATCACCTTATCATTCTAAAACTCGATAAGTTCTCTGTTTATTTTTATTTTTTACGGCATTCTTTTAATCGATTTTTATTAATTACTTTTATATCCAAATTGGCATAGGATGCTCGTAGCATTTCTCTTTCTAATCTTAATAGTGGGAGAAACGTGTTAGGGGATTGAATTTTTTTTTTCGAAATTGCTAACGGATGCGGGTTTATTACGCAATGAAAATCCCTCGTAGCTACATCATTAAAGGATAACGATCAGGATTGTTATCTGGGAGAACTGACATGCGAGATGGACAGTCGTTGGCATATCCTTGGACGTATAAAAATGCATATTATTTTCTTTTCTAACTGGTTTCGATTACTGTTAGTGAGAAATTCGATTTATCAAGTTATTATTATTATTTTCGTGTAGTGTGGCCCGTTCTAATTGTGACATTTAATGGACCGTTCTATCGCGTTTTTGTTTTATTTTATTCCTCTTAAGATAGAAATTTGCTATAGATTTTTATGGCCGCTTTAGATGTTAAAATATTCTAAATGCGTTGTATTTTTTTCTTGTAGATCTTCCTCTTACGACCGGATTCCGTTCTGTGAATGTAAACAAAGCTGGTTATTTTTTATGTTGATTAAACACACACACACAAATAGGCCTACACGGTGAGTTTGTCGTCCTGTTTCGATTTAATCTCGTCTAGAATCGTTATACGAATTTATAACTCCGTTATTCGATGGGAAAGCTTTTGAAGAAGTGAATAAAGAGAGAGTCGCAAGTAAATCAAATAGATTTTGAAAAGTTGGCAAGCTGTGATCTCCCGCAAACAGATCGTTAGTGTGCCCGTAGGCAAAGTGAAAGGCGAAATACTTATTCCCGATGTTAGGGAATAAAGCAACGAATCTCAAGGTCGGCCACCGGTTGTGGCACCTGCCATTTGTATAGTTAAATAAATGGAGCACAATACAATCTGTCATTGTGAACCGTGCTCCTTCCTTAATACCCAAATGGTCTCCATCCCTCCGAGCTAAGACATTTTTCAAAGGTTGTTATGTTAATCCTCGTTGATGGGATGGCTTAAAAAGAGGAAGTAACAAATTCTTTTCACTCGGAATAATTGGTCTAAATGTAATTTAATCGTATAGATAAAAATTTAAAAAAAAAGAAAGAAAAGAAAAAGATTTAAAGTCCAAATATTTGGCCACTTAAGAAGATTCCGCGTTAAAGTTCTTTAAGTGAACAAACATTTGGATTCTTATTTTCTCTTTAATTTTATCTTCATTTATAGCTCTAGAATTATATTATTTAGCATACGAATGTTGTCTTTATTTATATTTTATAAGTATTTAATCAAGAATAATTCAATTATACGGATTAGAGTTAAATTTGTTTAGCAACTACATAAACAAAGCTTTATGTTGCAACCTTAGATGAAGATGCTAGGCTTTTGATTGCAACAAATAATGTATCACTGCCACAAAACATAGGAAGTTTTGTGAACGATGTTTGTTTTAAGCACGGTATGATTGATTTCGTTTAAGGGTTAATCTTTACATTTCTACCATTAATTCATCACTCGACGGGAGGTCCCGTCTGCAATCTCTCCTGTTCCCACGACTTCTCCAGATCTGTTGGGGACTTCATTCTTCTCTGACGAGTTAATTTCGCCGTGTAAGGCGCCGAATAAGATGTCAAAATGTGAGAAACACGTCGTTGTTGTATCGAATTTATCTTTCGTCTACTAATTAACAGAAGTAACGAAGGGGGGTTTTTATCAATTTTCCGTTTGCCTTTCCCACAAGGGAGTCTTTAATTCGACCTTGATGTCACACGTTTTTGGTAGAGACAGGAAGTTCGCGTGGACAAGGTCGGCAACGACAGAAGGGAACAATGATGCAAGATGTTCACCATGTGTCTCGCAGAAGAATTGGCGACGTTCCTTACACTAAAACACATCACAGATGAAAGTGAATTGCATGCCTTTTAGCTTTATTAACCGACAACAGTAACTAACACTTAACACTGGTTCGTTGATCTTAATGGAGTTACATACAAACAAAGATTATAAAAGATATACACGATTTAGTACAAAGATAATTTTAATTAATTTTAGCCATAATTTTTATACCATCCTTTTTCCTATAGTTCAATAATTAAAGAAAGAAATTTTGATTTCAGTTTATCGCAGAAGAAAACGAATTAGATGCATATTTAGGTAAGAACGATTTTTGCAATCTTAGTGTACCCGAAGGCTTACAGAAAGCCAGAAGAGAAAGCGCATCTCAGGTCGACGAATACTTCGAAGAACAGACAGACTTCGGAACAGACTGTAAATCGGTTAATAAATCTTCCCACGTGAAAAGAATGCAGACCGAACCAACGAGTACTTATCCTATACTCGACGTCAATCAAGCACCCGTCCATTTAAATTGTATAAAGAAAGAAATGGACGACACGAGCTGTGCCTTATACGATAAAACTACCGAAACAAAACTGAACAGTGATTACGAAATTACCAAAACTGCCGGTTGTTCGTATAAATATACCAGTATGGGTCCGCAATTTGCCATAGCTCATATATTGTACATGCCACCGACGCCTCCAAATTCAGAACCCGGTAGTCCAGCTACGGATACTGTGCTCCATCCCAATACTCCACCTCCTCTCTACTCCTCCCAATCCAACGTTGTCAATCAGATCATTTCTACGGGGGCCAACCAACGGAGAAACAATCCCGAATTGGAAAAACGAAGAATTCATAGATGTAGTTTCCCCGGTGAGTTTTTATGCATTTCTCTCATTAAAATTACTTGAGAAATTTTCATTTGATAAACATCTCTTGCGAATATTTCTCGGAATTAGCATTTATATGGTTCATTAAAAGAACAAACCGTACAATCCCCGTTAAAGAAAATACCGGATTTAATCCAATCTTTGCTATAAAACGTCTTTTTTAATTAGTAAAAGTCTCCAAGTAACACGGCTGTTATACTTTCAGGTCGTATCTTCTTTCGTTTTTAGCATTTTAATACTGATTTTTATGTAAAGTATTAGAGATAGATGCCGAGAAACGAAGGCGAATCAGTTAAGAGTCAAAAACAATTACGAGATAAAGCAACGATGACGAGATGATAAAAAACTCGTAAAATAAATCATGTCAAAAGCTTAGACGGAAATGAAAGAGCAACGTGTCTATCTCGAGGAAAATCCTCTTTATTTTTACCTGAATGAATTTTCTTTCCAGGATTTATACTAGAGATAATAGAATATAAAAATAGAATTTAGACTACGATAAAAATAAATAGAAATAAATTATTTAACCATAAACTTCTACGAAAAGTTGAAAATTAAAAAGAGTTACTTGTATATCTTTATTAATGGCAAACAATGATAAAAAACAAAAGTTAATCTCTCGTTTCTTTTAGTATGATAAGTCAATTAATGAGGTCAAAAATAAGGTTCTCTTACGTAATAGACGGTAGAAAATGTTCATTTTATGAATTAATTATCGCTTCTAAAACGTTAATTAGTTAATTAGAATAGGGGAATTGTTTAAAATTTCAATGGTCACTCATTTTCTAAATTGGATTTTCAGGTTGTCCTAAAGTGTATACAAAGAGTTCTCATTTGAAGGCACATCAAAGGATCCACACAGGTGAGACGTCAGAAAATTTTCGTTAAAATTACGTAACGATCCCTATTTTTTTTTTATATTTATATATGGTCTCTCCTTCCCGAAGTAAAAAACTTCCGCCGAGTATTCTAAAAAGCAGATGTTTGAAAAGAGCAGGGTGCAATAAAATTCGATACTGTACCTAGAAAGTTTTATGATAGTTAAGGTTATCCCCCAGTAGTCGTAAATCTCTTTCTTTAGATGTCCAACCAGCTGCACTTAAGAGATGAACACAGGAAGCCAACCAGCAAATTTTCTTTAGCTTTCGACCCGCTGGAATCTGGCCATTCGTTTCTCCCTATTCTCCTTCACATAATTCTCACTTTCGTTGGATTTTTAAAGAAATTTTAGGAAATGGGAAAGTTCGATAACATTGCAATAGAAACATTGATGGACGGTGATAATCCCTTAACGTGATACTGACAATACTAACTGATACTACACTTTATCGTATTGAAAATCAAAAGTTCTTTATAAGATCTTCTCTTGTGTAAATTATCCTTATATACACCATTAGTCAATTGATAAGGATTACGAACCTGATCATTATCAATTGGATTTAACCGAATAATATCTGTAATAATTTTACTAAACACGGGAAACGAATGGAATATTTTACAGGTATTTTCCTGTTGAAAATGTATGTAAATTTCTGTTGCAGGTGAGAAACCGTATCACTGTCCGTGGCCCGAATGCACCTGGAAATTCGCCAGATCGGACGAATTGACCCGTCATTATCGCAAACACACGGGAGCTAAACCCTTCAAGTGCAAACTGTGCGATCGATCTTTCGCTCGATCCGATCATCTGGCTCTTCATAACAAGCGCCATTTACAGAAAGTGAAATAAAAGAAAGGCTCGGGCATCGTCCTTTATTTTTGTACACATTCCTTTTTATTTCCTCGTATATCGCATGGGTGAAAAACGAAAAGAAAATTTATATATTTTGTTATAAGTGCCACGAAACTAACTCTTTATTTTTTTGTAAACAGCAAAAAAAAAAAAAAAAAGGCCAATTTTTTAAGATATCGAATAACTTTGTTATACATTACATTAAAGGATTTTTTTAAATTAAATATTTATAGTTTTTATTAATTTCAATGGTTATTTCGTAGGAAAAGAACGTGGTTCTTTAGTAAATGTTTCGGTGCATTTATAAAGTACAAATCGATTATTCTTACTAATTTTTTCGGTAGATTTAACAATACACCGAACAGTAATGGAGCATCTATTCTTTGTCGACGTTAGTGTCACGCTAAAATTAGATTTGACAAGATTTGTTCATCATCAAATATAACTTTTAAAGTTATTTTATGAGCAAAACTAGTTTTCGTCGGATAGAATGTTGCAATTATACATTTTTTTCTTTTCTTTTTTTTTTAAATACGGGGCATAATTCTCGGAATGACGTTAATTACATAGTTGTAATGTTTCTCTGCTTAGGCGTTGATGGCGAAATTGCTCCGAGGTATCGGCTTTCTGCTTTTCATTTTGAGTTAAAAAGGACCACCCAAGGACATTCTTTATTAAGTTATTATTCGCAATAAGCTCTTGAAGATATCTAGAAAATCGACAATGCAAAGAAGAATATAACCGCAGCATTGACAAATTGAGCAGTTGACCGAGCTCGTTTCTTGAACGTTAATCTTTCCTCTCTTTTTTTTTTTTTTCTTTCAACCGAAAGAGGGACATTCCCCCACTCCTGCAAAACGAACGAAAACTATTGGCAAAGTCAGGTTTTGAGGCACGTATCGTTTGTCAAACCTCGCGGCCCGGCCACGTCAGCGACACTTTAACACATATGACTGTATTTTCTTAGAAAAGACGAAGACCTTTAAAATTTTCGGCTCAATTAAAAAGGAATATTAAAAATTAATAGAATTTACTTTCATTTTCCGAATTGGCGGAGAAGAAACGAGAAAGGAAACCACAGAAATGCGACTAATTCGAAACATATGAGGCTCAGATGCTACCCCGAATACAATGATAGGTGGCTCGACCTTTAACCCGCCTTTATCAGGAAGATCAAAATGCAAAGAGACGTCGTGACCAAAAACCAAGTTATGTTTTAAAGTCGTGTATGGAGTCCTTCTCGCTCCGTGTATTTCACTATAATCGAGACCATAAACCTCATCGACTCTGCTGGAAATTACTTGATAAATCACCATCTGCCGTCGTTATCGATGCATTCTTTTTTTTTTTTTTTTTTTTCCGGACGGCAAACCTCGTAATTTTAACGGGTCCAAAACCTTAATTCGATAGAATCATTCAGAACACGCCGCCCCATTTACGGCAACAAAATTTCTCGAATAATTGCGGAAGCGATCCGCTATTTAGGTCAAGATTGCGGTGTGAAGTAGAAATCCTTTTCTCGAAAACAACTTCGGGGAGAGCGTCACAAATAGAGCACTTCCTGCATTTAGGTGGTTACAATGGCTTTACATAGGTTACGCTCGATAATGACTCGCGAATCAAAGCTAACACATTGAAGAATTAGTTTTACTTCATTTATTTTATAAAGTTTTTATAAAACTTTAACGTTTTATCGCGTAAACACCGTTTCCTGTTGTTATTTTCTCTCGTATTGACTTCTCTCTCTCGTCCAAATTCTTATTATTTATTTAATTAACGCTCATTATAGTACATTTACTACAATACACAAGCATGTATATTTTTAATAAAGTGCTAACTATGGTAAAAATGTCGTCACGTCTTTCTGGAAATCGTTCAGGATATGGTAATGACTTAGGTAATATTGAGGATGTGAATCACCTCGCCATCCTCAATCCTTTAGACAAATTCCTACCGTGTTTTTATTTTCCCCTTCCCATTATTTGGAAATTTACAATGGTGACAGTCACCGTAACGTGTTGCAATTTCTCCCGCGAAATACTACGGAACGAGCGGAAATTTTAGTAAAAAGAAACAAGAAAAATAGGGAAATGTTACCTCGGTTAATGACCGTAATCTCATTAAATTTCCCTAGGTTATATAGGTAACAAATACGACACACACACGCACACACACTACTTCGTAGTAAAATGAAATAATCTATAATTAAACGGGATTAAACCTTAGAGAGAAAGATTATATTTAAAATTTGTTATATAATTAGATTAATTTATATACTTTAAAGCTAAGATAGGGCGTAGAAACCGGATTTATTAAGAAATGACTCGTTATTAATAGAAGATTTACGTAACTCGATGATTTAATAAATGCGTAATGTAGAATTTTAGACTTTACGACAATTAATTCCATTTATTTATTTATTTATTTAAAAGTAATATTTTTCACTGATTTTTAAAGAGAATACAATCATTTTATTCTCAATATTCGGGACTGTCGAGAAGAGGAAGCTGGGGATTTCTCCATAACCCTGGAATAAAGAAGTAAAAGGGATATTTTTGTTCGGGTATAGCGTATCCCGCATACAAAGAAAGGATCTTAATCTAATGTCGGTACGGTGCATTGGTGTTAAAGCGAAGGACACCGAAGGATTGAGTGCAAAACGGGCTAAAGTTACCGCCTCGGGCCCCACACGAATATTTTTGGACTCGGACAAAGACTCTTCTCTCCGATAGTCGACGTACGTTAAATCTGACCCTTCCATTGACGAATGTGATTAATGGACATCGAATACATTTACAAATGTCCCGCAATTCTCTACCCACAGTTAAAGAAGAACGGTCCAGTAAATCCAGTTGTATTAGCCGAACGAAATGATGATGAAATCTTTTATAATGCCGTAGTAGTGTGAAGAACAGTACTGTATTTGAAATCTCCGGAACAACCGTTTAATCGAAGAAAGATGGGAACTAAAAGTAAAAGTTTTCTATTGAATGAATGAATGAATGAATGACTCTTAAATAATTCGAGAATAAAAACAAAGAATTTAATTATAAATACACCGCACTAAGTTTTGTTTTATTTATGAATGGCCAAAGGCTATCATAGTTTGGACATTGCAGTGTGTTTGGCTACATTCCAGCAACCAACAGTCGGTTATGACTATAATAGTTAACAAATAAAAGCATTTATTATTATTATTATTATTTCTTACTTATAAATCGAGTGAATGATTTAATATTAATTAAATAAATCTGGCATTTAAAATACAAATAATTTGTGTAAACGAGTAATTACTACAAAAAGGCAAACTATAATAAAAAGTATTGACAAGTACCGGAAACGTGACAGCTCGATTTCCGGTTTCGATTGTGACCATTGAAAGATCATTATTTATATTTACAATGATAAAAATTATCGAAAAAATTTGAATTGATTTAAAGTTTTAAGTCTTTTACGTTAGAAAAATACGTCAAAGAAATGGTACATCAATCAAATATCTGGTTTATTGTGAAGGACCGCGGAGTGAAAAGTGGGTTAGCAGTGGTATAGGAAACTGAAAAATAAAGAGGAAAATGTGTAAATCGATACGGTTTTCGCTTAAGTTGTTTATTTACCGCAAACGAAATTCGAGATAAATCCGACATCTGTTTAGAACATTATCTTTCCCGTGTCTGACAACTTGTCAGATATTCGATAGATTCACTTTAAGACAAATATTTTTGTTGACTTCCATCCAAATCTAGGCGAAAAATCTCTCTCTGTAACTAGAAATGATTTAAGTTTCATACAAAAGTTAAAATTTCATTTTAAAAGCATTTTTTCCCTGAAAATTTCGTATACAAACTTACGTATTTTTAAAGATTATATGTGTCAAAATAAATAATCTAGTGGAAGATTAAGTGGAGAAGAGACAGACCTGAATAAAAAGGGAGATAATGGAACGAAAAGGGCACTCATTAAAACCCTTTTAGTTCGGAGTTTCTATGGGTAGAATCCACTTCGAACAGTATCCAAGATGGGGGCGATTAGTGAGTGTTGAGACATGGAAAAACCGAAATATCTAAGACAGAACACGTAAAAAGTTCCTAACTCGGACTCAGTATCAGGCTAAAGCCTTTATTGTTTAAACCGGTTCGACTAGAAGGTGTAAAAATACGGTATAAACATTATTATACGGTATTTAATTCTATTTAATTTCTTGATATTAAAAGGAGAAATCAAATTATGGAATGAATCAATAAATATCTGAATGATACATGTTTATATATTGTATTAGCTGTAAATGTGTAACTAATTAAAAGGAACTTAAACTTTTCCGGTAAAATATGAATAATACGTTGTTTTCCGGATAAAATATTACCATAAATAGCATTAAATCTTCTCAGTTACCGTTGAATATTTTAGTGACGAAGAAAATGTTTTGGTGTTTTTACTTTCGACGTTTTAATAGATTATTATTACTTTTTCTGCTTTTTTTAATCAAAAGTCAGAACAACGTTCTTATATGTGTCATTGACGATTGTACAGATGATGTCACTGACGTATAGTGTAATTATAATGACGTGTTTCAATATTTTACTTTTTATACGACGAGACATCTGATTGGAGGATCGACGTATCGTGCTTCGTATAGAATGTTAATGGGGCAGTTGTTTTATACACAAACGTTTTAAAATATATATAAACACTACCGTTCAGATACTGGGGGGGAAAAATAATAATATATATAAATTCAATTGGATATAATTTTGTGTAGAAATAAAATGTATGTGGAAATTGGCCTGTTGGTATGTCATTTACATGAAGGAGACAGGAGAAGCGATGAAGTCATCTCTTTTCTTTCTTCAAATTGAAGCGAGATGTGGAAAAATATTTACATATTGTCTGCACGTTTATAGTTAAATTAAATAGAAAATGATATTATAAAACTCTATAACTATTCTTTACTATATTTTATTTAAAAATTGTGAATATAAAAGGGGGAGAAAAATTCTATGAAATATGGCAACTGAATACAACCAGTAATTATGAATAAATTTTCAAAGAAATTTAACCAAAAGAATGTGGTCTTGTCACGTAATTATTTCCTTTGCAGAAAGTTTCTTAAATAGTTAATGTAATCTTGAAAAACTCTTATCATCACCTTCCTTTACTCCTTTGTTATAACATATCTGGTGTGATGTATTAGTGTAATTTTATATTGAAGACTTGCCAATTAATTACGTAGCCACTAAAACGTAATATCGTATTCAAATAATTAAAAATAATAGTAGAATGGATCGTAATAAAAGTAATGTTACACGTAAAGAATACAAAGTATTTATTTATATTCATATATACTACGTTTAAATCATAAAAGTGTTATATAGTCTTCCATTATAAAGTAAGCCATTATAATTATTTTTACGAGTTAGATTTAATTAAACACAATCGAGAGCATTAAATCGAACCTTTTACTAATTGTTTATAACATTAAAAGTATGGAGTTAAACAGTCGAATGTCGATTCTAATTGAAGATCAACGGTAATAATATGGCGTACAATTTTTTTTTTTAAATGTGGGGCCACGTAAGACTATTATAGCCCAAGGCTTGTCATGTCCGGAATCTTCTTCTAAACGACGGTTTTTATGATAATGTCATATTCCTACCAAGTTTAATTGTGTTTAATAGTTCATTATTTGAAATGATAATCAAAATTTGAAAGAGTTAGAAACTAAATAAATCTTTTATTTAAATATATAAGAATTAAAATAATATAAATTAACTTATTTTACCTCCGTTAATAGAGAAAAAAAACTTTGCAATTTAAGTACGAAGGCCAATACAATCGATATTGTATTATTTTGGACCACCCACGAGGTATTTCAATCAATTGTTTGCTTCGATCGATTTAATTAAAATCTGTGTCTGTTATTTAATATATTATACTATGTAATTAGTTTTGTTTTTTTAAATTGTTAATTAAAATTCGGTTATAAAAATTTTATGATCAGTAGCTTTTATCTTGGTTCTTTCCCTGTTAGATTAGCATCTACCTGGTGAAATAATTTAAATTCCGTAAAGTTCAAACTGTTTACAATGACTATATTCATGAGTTTATTCTTTATTTTTAACGACTGTGGTAAAGGTTTTCTTCTCGTGTATATTAAAATAAAAAGTAAAGGCCAGCATTGAAACTTAGTTATTCACGGAAATATATAATCATGACGTAATAACTGAGGTAGAAGTAAAAAAATAATAGGGGAAGTCAAACGGGTGAATGCCATTAACTTTATTGTCAATTACGTTTTGTGAGGTACAAAAAGCAGGCATGTGCCATTAAACGGCCATTTGTTCGTTAATTGTTTAAGCTGTTTTGGGACAAACATTCAGATACGAGAGAGAGAGAGCCGTGGGCGAAGACGGTTGTTTCCATCCGATCGATATGTTTATTACAGATAGATAAATATGGTGTGAGCACCAGACAACATCGCTCGAATGAAAAAAGTATATTTGTTGCTGGAGATGGTCCGTATCACATTTTTGCATTTGTAAAATGAAAAGAATAGCTCAAAGGCAACATTTCTTGGCCTTTAATGTCTCTTCTAGGAAGAGATTTTAATGCTAGAACAAGGCGATGATAGTCTCTAAATGCGTTAGCTGCTGACTGACAGTAGACAGTACACCTATAACAATTGTTTTTTTTTTTTTTTAAATATAAATTAAATTTGCATATCATTTATTTTTAAACAAAAATAAATAAAAAAATGTACAGTACGTACCATGTAAGGCAGAATCGATTTGGCAAATGCGAGAGCGTGGAACATCGGTTACTTCACTACTTTATGCTTCTTCTATGGATGTCAGAGCAAGAACTGTAAAGTTGACATTTTCTGGATCTCTTTCCATAAAACTCTTGCAAACTTTGCTTGCATCCTACACACCACAAATATATTATTACATCTTATAAATGCTTTTAAAATTATAACATAAATTAGTTCTATGTATGCTTAAATAATTAAGTATGTTACTCTAAAACACAAGATCCTATCACAGACAAAATCTTTAAGAATTGAACCATATTTCCACCAAACTTGTATTTTTAGCATTCTATAATTATAATGTAGTATAATGTAACAATTTATAGCATTAATAATTTGTTTGTCGTTTATTAATCCCACATTTTTAGACTTGGGACCTTGAAACGTGTGTGGAGGGCCACTTTAAAGCTTAATAACTCCCGTGTCTTTTGTCGAAAATTTCTGAAATTTTGCAGGGAGGTTTGTGTATTAGGGGGATTAATGTTATTAAATTTTGTTAAAGGTCAAGGTGTGGGAAGACAGAGGGGAGGTCACTTGTCATATCTCGTGTGGGGTCGGATTTAATGAAGATTTTACTTTATACATTATTATAGTGCATTTACACATAAACAGGTTGTTTTAATATACAAACGATAGTAAATATTATAGTGTTTATCAATATACAATTTGGATTTCCTGCTTTTCTCCAGAATTGTACAGAAAATATGGTTTAATTTCAAAAGTTAACAACAGATGGCGGAATGACGAAATAAATACAGTACAGTATACAGTATTTAAAATTCGGTCGTAATTGAAAAATAACAAATATATATATATTAAGGGGGAGCCCACGTGCAATGTTGACTTCAGGGAAATTTTCATGGAGGGAAATTTTTGGGAAAAAAATATTTTCTTACAATAGGTCGGTTTGAGGCCCCCTGTTGGTGTGGGCCCCAGGCGATTTTCCTTTTTTTGCCCATAGGATAACGATAACACGATATTTAATCTAATTGTAAGTATGATTTGTTTGAAACGTGACAATTTATACGTGAATTTGACGTCATTTTCGTATTTGCTCATAACGTTGATACATTAAAAATGAAAGAATGACGTCAAATTGACGTGACAATGCTCATTATGGCGTTGAAGTTTGCAAACCTTATTGGAAATTTAAATACGTAGTCCTATATAAAATTATAACAGGAAAATAGAGTTATGAGTATTATTGGGCTGCAATTTTCGCCTATAAATTCCCCTGTCTGTCTGTACTTCATTAAACTCCAGAACGGAGTTAAATATATGAAAGTCCAGACCATATTAACTATGTACGAACTTTCGATTTGGGCCGGAATTCATGAAGAGAGCATTCGTAAGCTTAGAGTACCGCACGAACGAAATTTCTCATAGAATAAATATAAATCACGAATAACCTTATGATCGAAGCGGTAAACGCATCAGTTTATCACTCTGGGAAGACAAGAGTTCGAGTCCATGTCAGAAACTTAAGGAAATTTTTATGGGCAATCTATCCGAATAAGTCGGATGCCGTCCTTCATCTACGGGCCACAAACCCATTGTGGACTCGGCTTAACCCATGATGGATACGAACATCCCTTGAAAGAAACCATGGAAATTAATCTTCGAGTGGTTTTTTTACTCTTTTCGCCCTGTGGGCACTAAGAGGGCATCTTTTAGCAAGCCCATTATGGGTTAGGCCTGGTGGTGAGGGACGGGATCCGACATATCAGGACTAACTTTAAGACCAAATATAGAATATGATCACACGAATACTCGTATGAAATATGTGTCTATAGTATTAACATTTTTTGAAGAACTCCGAATATTTGAATAAACTTACCTCTAGCAAAGTTTCGTCGGAACTAGAACCGTGGTTAATGGGTACACTTTTTCTTCCATCTGTAATGGAAATCATCACTACATTAGCTTGAGGAAACATTTATATTAATTACAGAAAAATTTGCTAGTTTTGCCTGAAAGTACAGGGTGATTATAATTAAAGTTCTACTTTGAAATGGCCATAAAATAAAAACTACTGGACAGAATGTTATCAAACTTGGTAATAGTGTACAGGACGTCATGGGATTTTATTTCCCGCGAAAAAAAATAGTTCAAAAACTCACCACAAACGGAAAAATGGCGCTGTCTGCATATTGTTAAACGAAATAAGACACGAAGACATCGTTGAAAATGTTTTTAATCGGTTTTATAACGCGTTACAGAGCATGTTTAATGTGGTGATTTTTGATAAGCAAGTTACATCTCATTACTGTGTTCTCAACAGTAGCATATCAGGAGTAACCCCAGAAACAGTTTCGTTTTAAAAACCGATTAAAAACATTTTCAACGATGTCTTCGTCTCTTATTTCGTTTAACAATATTGCAGACAACGCCATTTTTCCGTTTGTGGTTAGTTTTTTAACTATTTTTTTTCGCGGGAAATAAAATCCCATGACGTCCTGTACACTATTACCAAGTTTGATAACATTCTGTCCAGTAGTTTTTATTTTATGGCCATTTCAAAGTAGAACTTTAATTATAATCACCCTGTAAATTAATCAGGAAATTTACGGTTTGATTAACTTACCCAACTCGTACAGATTTCCATCGACACAGACAAAAGTAACAAAATGCAAATTAGCATCTTCTTCGGCATCTGGTGCCTAAAATGATCCAATTTTTAAAGATTATTTATTAGTGATTTTAATGGTGAATGCTTTAAATTTATCTATAATTATAACCGACCTCTGTCTGTCCTTCTTGAGCACTGGCTTCGTGGAGTGCCACGATGTCCTATTAAAAATTTCAAAATTATTTTTTAAACAAATATCACACAATTTTGTCCTATATTTATTTGAATTTTTAAAAATTACTAACGTCATATTTTTCTAATTCTTGACCTCTTTCTTCTGGAGCGAGGTCTTTGGTTTGATCTATAAAACGTTTCAGGACACTTTCCTCGTCTGCAAAGAGATATCTTTCGTTTTGTTTTATCATATTCCGGATGACAATACTATATTTTACGCGTGTTTTATTCTTACCCATTTGAATCTTGCCTGCATTGTTTGCTATGGAATGGATGAGGGCTATTGTCCCGCAGGCATTCTTGATGACTTGATTCATAAAATATATGCCATCACTAACGGTTTGTCCATCCGACTGAATTCTCTCCGCTTCTTCTTTACAATAACTTTCATACTGAAACATGCAAGTTATTTTAAATGATGATATACAACTGTCAAGAGTGGCTCATTAATCTCTAACAGTCCATTAAAGTCAATATCAATAACAGGTTATTAAATATAATTCAAAACACTTGGTAATCGTTTATAAATTTATATAAGCTTATNTTTGGCTACATTCCAGCAACCAACAGTCGGTTATGACTATAATAGTTAACAAATAAAAGCATTTATTATTATTATTATTATTTCTTACTTATAAATCGAGTGAATGATTTAATATTAATTAAATAAATCTGGCATTTAAAATACAAATAATTTGTGTAAACGAGTAATTACTACAAAAAGGCAAACTATAATAAAAAGTATTGACAAGTACCGGAAACGTGACAGCTCGATTTCCGGTTTCGATTGTGACCATTGAAAGATCATTATTTATATTTACAATGATAAAAATTATCGAAAAAAATTGAATTGATTTAAAGTTTTAAGTCTTTTACGTTAGAAAAATACGTCAAAGAAATGGTACATCAATCAAATATCGGGTTTATTGTGAAGGACCGCGGAGTGAAAAGTGGGTTAGCAGTGGTATAGGAAACTGAAAAATAAAGAGGAAAATGTGTAAATCGATACGGTTTTCGCTTAAGTTGTTTATTTACCGCAAACGAAATTCGAGATAAATCCGACATCTGTTTAGAACATTATCTTTCCCGTGTCTGACAACTTGTCAGATATTCGATAGATTCACTTTAAGACAAATATTTTTGTTGACTTCCATCCAAATCTAGGCGAAAAATCTCTCTCTGTAACTAGAAATGATTTAAGTTTCATACAAAAGTTAAAATTTCATTTTAAAAGCATTTTTTCCCTGAAAATTTCGTATACAAACTTACGTATTTTTAAAGATTATATGCGTCAAAATAAATAATCTAGTGGAAGATTAAGTGGAGAAGAGACAGACCTGAATAAAAAGGGAGATAATGGAACGAAAAGGGCACTCATTAAAACCCTTTTAGTTCGGAGTTTCTATGGGTAGAATCCACTTCGAACAGTATCCAAGATGGGGGCGATTAGTGAGTGTTGAGACATGGAAAAACCGAAATATCTAAGACAGAACACGTAAAAAGTTCCTAACTCGGACTCAGTATCAGGCTAAAGCCTTTATTGTTTAAACCGGTTCGACTAGAAGGTGTAAAAATACGGTATAAACATTATTATACGGTATTTAATTCTATTTAATTTCTTGATATTAAAAGGAGAAATCAAATTATGGAATGAATCAATAAATATCTGAATGATACATGTTTATATATTGTATTAGCTGTAAATGTGTAACTAATTAAAAGGAACTTAAACTTTTCCGGTAAAATATGAATAATACGTTGTTTTCCGGATAAAATATTACCATAAATAGCATTAAATCTTCTCAGTTACCGTTGAATATTTTAGTGACCGAAGAAAATGTTTTGGTGTTTTTACTTTCGACGTTTTAATAGATTATTATTACTTTTTCTGCTTTTTTTAATCAAAAGTCAGAACAACGTTCTTATATGTGTCATTGACGATTGTACAGATGATGTCACTGACGTATAGTGTAATTATAATGACGTGTTTCAATATTTTACTTTTTATACGACGAGACATATGATTGGAGGATCGACGTATCGTGCTTCGTATAGAATGTTAATGGGGCAGTTGTTTTATACACAAACGTTTTAAAATATATATGTAAACACTACCGTTCAGATACTGGGGAAAAAAATAATAATATATATAAATTCAATTGGATATAATTTTGTGTAGAAATAAAATGTATGTGGAAATTGGCCTGTTGGTATGTCATTTACATGAAGGAGACAGGAGAAGCGATGAAGTCATCTCTTTTCTTTCTTCAAATTGAAGCGAGATGTGGAAAAATATTTACATATTGTCTGCACGTTTATAGTTAAATTAAATAGAAAATGATATTATAAAACTCTATAACTATTCTTTACTATATTTTATTTAAAAATTGTGAATATAAAAGGGGGAGAAAAATTCTATGAAATATGGCAACTGAATACAACCAGTAATTATGAATAAATTTTCAAAGAAATTTAACCAAAAGAATGTGGTCTTGTCACGTAATTATTTCCTTTGCAGAAAGTTTCTTAAATAGTTAATGTAATCTTGAAAAACTCTTATCATCACCTTCCTTTACTCCTTTGTTATAACATATCTGGTGTGATGTATTAGTGTAATTTTATATTGAAGACTTGCCAATTAATTACGTAGCCACTAAAACGTAATATCGTATTCAAATAATTAAAAATAATAGTAGAATGGATCGTAATAAAAGTAATGTTACACGTAAAGAATACAAAGTATTTATTTATATTCATATATACTACGTTTAAATAATAAAAGTGTTATATAGTCTTCCATTATAAAGTAAGCCATTATAATTATTTTTACGAGTTAGATTTAATTAAACACAATCGAGAGCATTAAATCGAACCTTTTACTAATTGTTTATAACATTAAAAGTATGGAGTTAAACAGTCGAATGTCGATTCTAATTGAAGATCAACGGTAATAATATGGCGTACAATTTTTTTTTTTAAATGTGGGGCCACGTAAGACTATTATAGCCCAAGGCTTGTCATGTCCGGAATCTTCTTCTAAACGACGGTTTTTATGATAATGTCATATTCCTACCAAGTTTAATTGTGTTTAATAGTTCATTATTTGAAATGATAATCAAAATTTGAAAGAGTTAGAAACTAAATAAATCTTTTATTTAAATATATAAGAATTAAAATAATATAAATTAACTTATTTTACCTCCGTTAATAGAGAAAAAAAACTTTGCAATTTAAGTACGAAGGCCAATACAATCGATATTGTATTATTTTGGACCACCCACGAGGTATTTCAATCAATTGTTTGCTTCGATCGATTTAATTAAAATCTGTGTCTGTTATTTAATATATTATACTATGTAATTAGTTTTGTTTTTTTAAATTGTTAATTAAAATTCGGTTATAAAAATTTTATTATCAGTAGCTTTTATCTTGGTTCTTTCCCTGTTAGATTAGCATCTACCTGGTGAAATAATTTAAATTCCGTAAAGTTCAAACTGTTTACAATGACTATATTCATGAGTTTATTCTTTATTTTTAACGACTGTGGTAAAGGTTTTCTTCTCGTGTATATTATAAAATAAAAAGTAAAGGCCAGCATTGAAACTTAGTTATTCACGGAAATATATAATCATGACGTAATAACTGAGATAGAAGTAAAAAAATAATAGG